GGCAGTAATCTCACCTTTCCCTAGGACCCCAAACCCACCTGGCCACTTGACCTGCCGTGATTAGCCAATTCAAAGAGGGCCACAAATGACCATGTTCCTCTTGGGCCAGACTCATATTGAACTTCCTTCTCTCCTTTCCAACCCTCCTTGCTCCATTCATGTTTGTTGTTTGTATGTTTATTTATTTATTTGACAATCCTGGGGCTTGAACTCAGGGTCTGGGCGCTGTCCCTGAGCCATTTTGTGCTCAAGGCTAGCACTCCATCACTTGAGCCACAGCTCCACTTCTGTTTTTTCTGTGCTTAATTGGAGATAAGACCATCACAGACTTTCCTGCCTGGACTGGCTTTGAACAGTGATCCTCAGATCTCAGCCTCTGGAGTAGCTGGGATTAGAGGCATGAGCCACAAGCGTCTGGCTTACATTCATGTTCTTTGTCACTTCCAACATACTTGGCACAGACTTCCTTTCATTTCCCAGGATCTTCTCACCCTTCCTTTCCCTCACCCCAGACTGGACTCTCCACTGTGTGGCTTCTAGACGTATGTTTGGCACTTAACTGCTTCCAAAATGCTGCCAAACCTATGATTCTTAAGGGACTAAATTGCTACTCTCATTTCTTTTTCCTGAAGTGGGAAATAAGGTCCCATAACATACCCTCAATTCATTTGACCAGCTAGCTAGTAAGTGACAATGTTAAGATTCTCAGATCCTAGGGTCGCTCACACCTGTAATCCAAGCTAATTAGGAGGCTGAAGTCTGAGGATTATGGTTCAAAACCAACCTAGGCAGGCAAGCCTATGAGACTCTTATCTCCAATAAACTACCAAAAAAAAAACCCAGAAATGGAGCTGTGGCTCAAGTGGTACAATGCTATCCTTGAGCAAAAGCAGCTCAGGAACAGCTGCAGGCCCAGACCCCAACCCCTCCACACACACACTCTCTCTCTTTTTGTTTTTTTGGTTGGTCTTGAACTCAGAGCCTGGGTGCTGTCCCTGAGCTATTCAGCTCAAGGCTAGCACTCTACCACTTGAGCCTCAGTGCTACTTCCACGCCAACCCCTCCAAAGAGAGAGAGAGAGAGAGAGAGAGAGAGAGAGAGTCAGTCTCAGATAGATCTAAGAGCCTAATTCTCCCCAAACACATGTATAAAACTCAATTTGGACCCAAAGAGTCTGTGGCTGCAGTAAAGCTGGGCATGGAGAGTAAACGAGGGCCAAGCAGCAGTGTGAGAAACCAGTGTCATATCTCCCAGCCTTTCTGTGGTCTGGTCCATGGCCCCAGTGGCTGGGTATCCAGAGATCTTGGTGCCCACCATGGCCTCACCTGTACTCGGGCCTCAGTCAGATCAGTGCGCAGAGCCAGCTGTTCCCGGGCATACACGTCAGGGTAGTGAGTTTTCTGGAAGACTTTCTCCAACTCTTCCAGCTGGAATGTGCTGAAAGTCGTGCGGTTCCGGCGCTTCTTGCTCTTGTTCTTGGACAACTCCATGGAGTCAGGGAGTCCCGGGGAAACAGGGACGCGTAGGTTGGCCAAGCAGGGGCCTGGGGAGCCTTGCAAGTTAGAGGGCCCGTCTCTGGGCCCCCCTCGGCAGTCCAAGGGCAGCTGGGGGAAGCTGGTGGCGGCTTTGGAGGCTTTCTCCTCAGCTGCAATGGAAAACAAAAAGGAGGATGGAAACAGAACAGGGGGTTTTGTGGGTGGAATGGAGGGAGGGGAAGAGCATTGACGCTCCAGTCCCCGCCTCCCCCTTCCTTCCCCTTCCCTTCCCTTCCTCCCAGGCAGCCACCCTCCAAGGGAGCCTGGCATTCAGAGGCCTGCCTGCTGAGCCTCCAGCTGGGGAGGGGGCCCTAGGGAACCATGTGCTCTGTGGTCTGGGTGGATCTGCTGGGGCCAGAAGGGGGTTCATTTCGGGGAAGTGCTCTGTGGTGGTGTGTCCTAGAGGGTGTGGAGGTGCCAGGGTTGGCGCCATGGCATGGCCCGCCACCCTGGCAGGGCCAAGGGCGGGGGGGGGGGGGGGGGGGGGTGACAATGGGGTGGCTGACATCTCCCACCCCTGCCAGGAAGTGCTCCCTTGTTCTGAGGCTGCAGGCCTTGGTTCCCATGCCCTCAGCTTCTGCCTCTGCGCCCAGGGCCAGGCAGGCAATGGACACAAATGTCTAGATCACCTTTGGCTGGCCTGGCTGTGTCTCCTTCTCGGAACCCAAAGTTTCAGGTCAACATCAAATCCTTCAGCTCTGGGGTATAAAGGGCAAGTTGAGACAAGATTCCAGAGGGGTTTGCCTCTCTCCATTCCTCTTCAGCTGTGATGTCTGGGCAAGGACTCAAGCTTCAGCATAGAGGCCCAGATCGGTCATGCTTACTGGAGAGTGGGTGACCAGTGTCATAGCCCCTCTCTCCCTTATTCACTGCCTGCCCTGCTCAGGAGTTCCTGACTACTCCTCCATGGCCTATGATTAAGAGGCAGGGGAGGGCGTGATTGTGGCCTGGGAACAGTTCCCAGTAGCCCCACTCTGACGTGCTAACCCTCGTTCAGGAAGCTTGGCAAAATCCCACCATGACGACCAACTGACAGGGCATGGTGAAAAATAGGTCACCCTGAGGGCCCTGCCCTTTCCCTCTGGCAAGGACCCCCAGCAGTGTCCCCGTGAAATTCTTCCTCCACAGTCCACTGGGATGGCAGCCATGACGCCAAAAAGACGCCCCACTGCCTTACATAGCCCTTTCTCTGGCCCCAGGCCCATCTCCAGTGGGGGCCCAGCCCCCAGGAGGCCCAGCTAGCTGGCACCAAGAGTCTGTTTCTTCCCAGGGACTTGGTGTCAAGATTACAGCTGTGGGGGGTGGAGTGCAACTGGAGATATGGGCTTTTCAGGATCTGGGACAGATGAGTTCCTGTCTGGAGGACAAACCGGGCAAAGTTTTTCTCAGCTGGAAGGTACTGACCTGCCAGGGCCACCCAGGCTGTACAATAAGCTCCCCATGCATGTCCTGGAAACTTGGGGCTGTTAGATAGGGCCTACCCTCTGGGTATGCCTAGCCTACAGTAACAGCTCAGGCACCAGGTCTCCTTTATGACTTGTGTGGAACCGAGGTGGAAGAATATCTCCAGTCCCTGCCTTCTGTTCTTGGCCAACTGATTTTGGTTCTAGGGTAAGTCTTTTGGTTAGAAAGGAGGAATCAAAGTTGAACCAAAGCCTGACACGGATGGCTCATGCCTGTAATCCTGGCTCCTTATCTCCAATAAACTGCCAAAAAAACCCCCCAAAAAACAAAAAACCCAGGGGTGGAGCTGTGGCTACAATCTGAGGATTGTGGTTCAAAGCCAGCCTAGACAGGGAAGTCCATCAGACTCTTATCTCCAATTAACCACCAGAAAACCAAAAGTGGTGCTGTGGCTCAAAATGGTAGAGCACAAGCCTTGAGTGATAAAGCTCAGGGATAATGCTTAGGCTCTGAGTTTAAGCTCCATAATTGATGAAAGAATGAAAGAAAGAAAGAAAGAAAGAAAGAAAGAAAGAAAGAAAGAAAGAAAGAAAGAAAGAGAGAGAGAGAGAGAGAGAAAAAGAAAAGTTGAACCAAGTAATTGAAAATGGTAATGAGAATAAGGAAGGGGATAGCCACACATGGTAAGTTCATAAAGTAGTCTGAGAGGGAAGTCGGCATCATGGGAAGTGTACTGGACATGAGGGGGGAAAGAAAGAAAGAAAAAGAAAGAAAGAGACAGAGAGAGACAGAGAGACAGAGAGTGGAAAGAGCTCAGGGCAGGGGTTCAGAGAGTATTGACATTACAGAGACTTCTCCAAAGTCCTGGGGTTTTCCCTCTGCCTCTTGCACCCTCTCTGTTTGGTCCCAGTAAGAATCTGCCTAGAGGATATGATGGGATTTGAGCTCCTGTGGTTTGTCTTCTTGATCCTGAGCCACCTAGCTGACAGTCAAGGGATGAAAATGAAACACAGTACAGCAGATTTTTTCAGAGCGGCTACCTGCAAGTGTCCATGCGCACTGGCTTCTGATCACCTCCCATCCTACCTATCCCTCTCAAAGGACCAGAGAACTGCTCCTGGGGCTACGGTTGCCATTGCCTTGATCTGACTAGAGGATTCCAGAGGGCAGCATCCACCTCCTTTTCCAGAGGAGACAGACCCAGAAAGAGCAGACCCAAAAGGAAGTCTGAGATAAATGGAGGATGGCAATCAAGAAAAATCCCAGAAGCTCAGAAGTAGAAGCCAGCAGTAATTTAAGCTTGTCAGGAAAAGTGACTTTGTTAAGTAGGGAACATTAGTGGGGCTAAACTTTGTCCAGACAATGTTGGTGGTGGGAAGGTCTTTATGTTGGACACTGGAAGCCTGAGGCTCAGCTCCTGGAGTGTCCTGGGCCTACACAATCTGGGACCACAGCCACATGCTGTTCTGAAATGAAAGCCAAGAACCAGGACCTTTAATGTGTCAATGGTGCTCTTCCTCCCCTAAGCTGCCTGCCTTTACACCTTGGCAAACCACGGAGGTGCTGGTGGGGGTTACCTAATCTCCAACTAGATGCTGCTCCAAGCCACTGTGCAGGAACTGCTCCCCGGGCCTGCTAGGTGCCCTAGCATCCAGATGGTTGGTGTCCATTGTGGCAGGTGTTAAGATCCACCACCTACTTAGCTTTCATCTCTCCTTACAACCCAACTCATCTAGTTCCTGTTGCTACACTGATTTCATTGAGTGGGCTGCAGAGTTCCCTGAGACCTGTGTGGACATAACTGCCAACTGAAGAATCCTGGTGGATTCTTGGTGCTTCAGGTAGAGGTGCTCAGCATTAGCCTAGAGATCACAGCGAGGACTTACTGCATCCACCGTTGGCCGCGTCTGGTCTGGGGGGCGGCGCGGGATGGGGTGTCTCAGCTTCAACTAACAAACCCCAGCAGTGGTCACTTGCCACCTCCGCTGCAGCCGAAAGACCAAGCTTGGAGGAGAAAGGCTGAACAGCCCCCAGGAGGGCAGAAACTTCCCAGTGGCCACTCATCGCGGGAATGAGGGTGGCTAGCGCATCTCGAGCTGGGCATCTCGAACTGGCTGTGCTCTTCAACGGGTGGACAGAGGCTGGCGCGGGGGGCGGCCGGGAAAGGAGCAGCGCAGTGCGCCCCCGGCTCCAGAGCGCGCAACTGCTCCACCTAGGCAGAGACCCGCCGGGCAGATGGGACGCAGCGGCGCGCTCACTGACCTGTGTCGTTATTGGTACCATGTTTTCTATGCATTTTTACCACTTAGGTATTCCCTTTTCTAGACTCTCTCATTTTCTATTACCCGATTGATTTTTGTTTTCCCCTATTAAATGAATAAAAATAGTATAATTAACCTCTTTTAAAAAAAGAACATAAGGCATATTTCCCCTTTGACTACAATTTGTCACTAAGGGAGGCTCCAGCCTGCGGGAGTCGATCCTCCCCAGTCACGGCAGCCCGGCCAGGGCTTCCCCGAGGGCCAGCGTCGGCGGGATCTCCTCGTTTGGTTTGTCTGCAGAGCATGGACTAGTCTTCCCCACCGGTTCTCATTTAGTTCTGTTCTTTTTAGGACGTCCCCTTTCATTCCCTCCTTTTTCTCCTTCGTCTCTTCTCTCCTCATTTACCCGCTTCGTTCGATCAAATCTTCTCTTTGCTTCCTTCTCTTTTCTTTCTTTCTTTTTTTTTTTTTTGTCGTTCATGTACTCTTCCGTTCCTCTGACTCCTTGGTTCTCTCCGCCCTGCTCCGCTGTTGTGTCCAGTTCCCCGCCCTGCTTTTTGGTCATTGTTTGCGCTTTGGGGTGGTCTTACTCCGCATTTCGTTGTCGTTGACACGCTCGCCGTCGGATCCTAGGACGCCAGGTTCCTCCCCTGCGCTCTCGGCGGCGCGCTCAGCTCGGGCCGGTCCAGGCGCCCGGGGCCATGGGTGAAGGATGAGCGCCAGCAGCCGCACCGCCGGCCCAGGAGTGGGCAGCGCCCGCCGCGCCGCGCTCTAGTACCTGTCCCTTGCGGTGCTTGAAGTGCTGCTCGGCCGCCGCGTCTGGCAGGGATCAGAGGAGCCAGGCCAACTGCTTCTCATTAAGTCCCAACTGTGGTTTTTATCAGGAGAGCTTCTTTCAAAGGGCAGAGACACGAAGCTCCGCGGACCCGCTCATTTCCTCCGCTGACCCCCACACACCTCCCTGCCCTCCCTTCCACATTCCCACCACCCCGGCTGGACGAAGACCCGAGCTGCCCAGCCACTGCGTGGAAGCCTGAGAGACGCCAGGACCGCACAGGCTGCGGCAGAGCTGGGCGGGATCTCCCAGGGACCCCTCTCTTCCCTAGGCTCAACTACGGAGCGGATCTCCGCCGTGAAGGGTGGCGGCCTGGGTAGGGTGGGCGTGGGCGCCCACCAGCCTGCCAGGCCCCAGCGATCGGGCGCAATCCTGGAACCATGGCATGGCCCAACCGGCCTTTAGCACCCAGGACACCAGCCTACGACTCAGAAGCACCCAGGATTCAGACCCACCCAGAGAGGCTCTCCACGGCCCAGCAGTGACGATCTGGTGCGGTGAGGATGCCAACTCTCCCCGAAGGACGACCATCACCATGCGTAACGACGGGGAGGCCAGGTTAGTCGGAGAAATTAAGAGTCTTGAGCATGGCCCCAAGATTGCGGGACGATCCGCAGCCATTCCCCCATTCCACTTAAGGCACGGGCTGCGCCCTTCCCGCCGAGGCCCGGCCCGAGCAAGGGAGGAGAGGCGGGTCCGATCAGGCCGCAGCCTTCGGCTGGAGCCGACTTGGCCTCTCTAGGTCGAGGCCCAGCCTCCGAATCCTCCAGGAAAGCCACACACAAAAGCGGAGCGAGTCTCCCGCAGCGTCGGGGCTCATTGCGGCTCCCGGGCCCTCGGCCCAATCCAGGCTTCTGGGTCGGTGGCAGTTCCAGCCCAAAGCCGGCCGGCCAAACCAGACGTCTTATTTTCATTGCGACGGTGCCCGGGGACGTCGCCGCTTTACCCTCCCCTCGACTTCCCGCCTCCCGATCCTGGGGAAACGGATGACCCTGCCTCCCGCGCCGCACTGGCTTTCGCCTGGCCCGGGCTAGCGGCAATCTGGATACCGTGGTTGCCGTGGCGAAAAGGGCAAAGAGCTGAGATCTAGGCGACCCGAGAGAGAAGCAGAGAGGCCGGGGCGGGCCGGGGTAGGGAAGGGGAGAGGGTCTGGCTGCGGGCTACCCGCCGCGCCACGCCGCGCGTTACCTTCCGCGGGGCCCTCGTAGAAGTGGCCGCCGTTAAGCGCGGGGCCGGGCCCGAGGTCCTGCAGGTACTTGGCGGGCGGCTTGGCCGGCTCTGGGAGGTAGGGCTCCAGAGGCCCGCAGGCCGGGAAACGGGGCAGCCTCGGGCCTCGGGGTGGCACGGGATGCAGGTGAGGCGCCGCGTCGGGAGTTCCCTGCGGGCCTGGAGGCTCGTCCCCAGCGGCCGCATAGGGACCCGGCGCGGGCCCCACAGCGAAAGGCGTGCAGCGCTCAGGGTCCATGCCGGCTTGGGGCGCACAGGCCGCGGGGGCTCCGGGGCTCGCGCTACCCGCCCGGCCTGTGAGCGCCCGCCAAGGGGGAGGGACCTGGGCTCGGGGGCGCGGAGCCCCCGGGAGCGGCGCGCGCCGCGGGGGGCGGAGGGGGCAGAGGAGGGGGCCGCGCCTCTGACTTAATGCTGGAACTATCCACGTCACGTGCGCCCCCGCGCGGGTTAACCCCTCGGAGTCCGGGAACCCCCCTGCTTCACCCTGAGCGCGGTGTTCCCAAGGCAGTCGGAGGAGAGGAGGCGGAAACCCTCCATTGGAGGGCAAGGACCCTTTATGAACTTTATCCGGGGCGAGTCCCGGCCCAGGGTCCTGAACTCGGGCCCAGGGACCCAAGTCCCTGGTGAGGGAGTGGAGTTAATGAGCAGATCTCCTCCCCCAGCAAACCCTTGTAGGCCTGATCTCCCGACATCAGTCTGGCGGAAGGGTTGGGCTGTCCCTTTCCTTGGCTCTTTTTGCTGGGAACTGGGAGAAATAAACTCATTCCCTAGATGCCTCTTGCTTTGCACCCCTGTGCTGGAGTCATTGGGTACCGTGTGTGGAAACAGTTCTAAGCCTGAGTCTGGACGCTATCATTAATTAGCTTTGGGGCCTGGAATGTCAGGCCCCTCCTCATCTGACTTGGAGGTCAGGGTATTCAACCACGGAGCCCAGGCAGGCCAGAACAGACAGTGAGTGAGAGGCTCCCAAGCCAGAACAGGGTCCAGCATAACAGGCTATGGATCAGATAAAAATGCAATAGAAGGGAGTTGCGTGCATGGAGTGAATGCCTTGGGTGGTTTGGCGACAGACTGAAATACTACTTTTTGCAGCTCAGACCCCTGGGCTCTGTTGCTCCCTTTTTGGAGGAGATGAGTAGAACCACATCTCCTAAAAGAGTTTCACCAGCCCCAAAGAAACATCGGATTGGGGCTGTAGTTTAGCATGACTGGAAAGACAGAAACAACAACAAAAGATCCTAAAAAACAAAAACCTACTGAAGAAAAGTTGGAAAGAAATACAAGAAGGCCTTAGGACCAGACTCCCTTACCATGAATGGAGAGCCTCTGGGTCTGGGTTAAAACAGTTATATTCTCAGTTGCCCCCAGAGATTAGTAAGAGGGGTTGGGGAGTCAAACATCATTTGTATTTCATTTGAATTCTTGATTTTTTAAAGGAATCTAAGAGGCCTGGTGTGAACACCTCCCTCTTCCGTTAGAGGCTTAGAGGGGGTTTCTTGGCTGTCCACAGCCAGAGTTGGGCTGTAAATCAAGGCCAAACAGGAACCAGAAGTCTTGCATCTCACAAGGAGTCATTAAGCCATTATTAAACATACCGTGACTTCTTTGCAGCCTTATTGGTTTAAACACCACATTGGAGGCATTATGGCCATTAGGGCCCCTAAGCACAGACTGCACACTGGGCAGAGAGATGGAAGCACCTGGGGCTGATATTTCCAGCCTAGAGGGTGGCTCAGCTCAAAATTAAGCTTTCACTCTGGCCATTCCAGAGGAATCCGGTCTCCAGAGAGCAGTGGATCCCAGCTCTAGCAACCAACTTGCACTGATCATCAATACAGTGTTTCAATAACTGGTAGTTAGATATTGTTCCCTTCCAAGGAGGATGTGTTAGTTCAGGACATTGGTTCAGCAAAGTTATCAAGCAGCTTGGATGAAAGTACGACACAGGAAAAAAAAAAATGTCACCAACAAGTTAACAGGGCAGCCTAGATTAAATGCTGGGTCTTTTACCTCACACAATACATTTTCTGTGCCTCGGTTTCCTCATCATAAAAATATGTCACGCACATGGGGTGAGGGGGTATTTGAGAAGCACTCATGTTTTTCTGTACCGTGCTAATTTAAGAGACAATGATGATAATGATAATGCTGGTGGTGGTTTATCCAGAATGGGAACCCAGATTTCTGGATTCTATTACTGAATTGACAGAAAGCATCTGATTCCAGATTTCCATCTGAGGCTGCCTATGGGCATAGATCTAGGACACTGTCCCTACGACTTAACAGCCTTTCTCAAGGCAGGAAATTCCTCCTGAAATTTACACTGAACAATTGCATCTATTTCCATGCTGCCATGATGTTACCAAGGAAGGTTTAGACTACATTCAAGTTTGGTGGACATAAGGGATTGCCCTTCCTAGAGGGTTTCCTCTAAGGACCATACCACACAGGACACCAAGAGAAATCTCTCCTGCCTGATTTTAAGCTACTGGGACAAACACATACCTTTATACATATCTGGTGTGGGAGGAGTTTGGTGGAGCAGGTGTATAGAAAATTGCAACAACAGAACATCTCATTACTTAACTTTCCTTAGGCAGCTTGGGAGATCATGGAGTACTGCAGAGGACCCTGTTTTATGATCAAGTACCTATGCATAATAAAAACATGCTGGACATTTGTTCATTTAGTCTATGCCCTTAGATTTATTTAGTCTCTAAAACAATCCTTGCAGTAGGCACATTTATTAACTCTAGATTAGTGTGTGTGTGTGTGTGTGTGTGTGTGTGTGTGTGTGTGTGTGTGTGTGTGTGTATCCTGGTGCTTGAACTCAGGGCCTGGCCAGCCAGTCTTAGTGCTGTTTTACAGAGGAAGAACTTGAGGTCACAGAATGGGGCCATTCGTTCAGTTTGGACACAGCCAGTTAGAAGCAGAACTAGATCCATACCCACCCCCTGCCACCCACCTGCCATACGTGACTCTCAAGTCCTTCTTCAGCTAATATGATAAAGTTGAAATCGTTCACGGAATGTGCTTGTTTTCTCAATGGGAAGGTTGAGGTTTCTTCCTTAAATGGGAGTTGAGGCCAGACAGTGCTGAGGGCAGAGTAAGTCTGAGGGTTGCTGCACTGCTGCCTTCATCAGCACCAAGTGGCACCCAGCTGTGGAGTCTGGGGAAAGGTGGTTTCTGCTAAGCTGAGACCAAATGAAGCAGAGTGTCTAACACCTGAGTGGTTTTATGACCCGCTCAGATGTAGGGCAAAGTTTTAAGAGATTTTGTGAGTTTACCATTCGTGCTATTTAATAACTCTTTGAATTAGCATTGGTCACTGATAACATTGTACACAGAATTAAGAGATGCACTATAGATGATCCAGTGAATTATAGGTCATGTAATAAGAAACATTTCGTTCTTAATTTTAGAAAAAACTTTTTCTCAGCCAGGTGTGATGGCTCATACTGGTAATTCTAGCTATTTGGGAGATGGAAGTTGGAAGGATAGGAGGATGGTGTTTGAAGCCAGCCTGGGCTACATGTTTGAGAGATGCCCATTTCAACCAATTAAAAAAATGAGTTTGGCGGTACATACTTGTTATCTCATTTATGTTATGGGAGAAGAATAAATAGGAGGATCATGGTCTAGAACAGCCCATGGATGAATGTAAGAGAACCTATTCCAAAAAATAATGAAAGCAAAAAGGGATGAGGGCATGGCTCAAGTGGTAAGAGCCTGAAAGCCTGTGTAGCAAGTGCAAGATCCTAAATTCAAACCCTAGTACAGAAGAAAAGAGGAGGAGGAAGAAGAGGAAGAGGAGGAAAAGGAGGAGGAAGAAGAGGAGGAGGAGGAGGAAGAGGAGACTCTCCATCCATCTGCTGATAAAAGCTACTTTTAAATGAAAATGATGCTTTTTAAATGAAATGAAAATTATTGGCTAGTTGTTTAATTCATCTACTAGGTGGGCCTACTGATGACAGCCATTTGTGGGTACCAGGATGCAGCAAAAAGAGCAAGACAGATGCCACCCTTGCCCACTCTTGGTACTTGTCCTTTTGTGGAAGGGGACTGCTTCATCCACACTAAAGCAAACCTTCCCTGTGATGTGAATCAGGATGAAATCTTGTCTCCCGAGCAGAGTTCCTGCTCCTGGCTCTAATGTAAGGTGGTTCTTTAATTAGGGAAAATCAGCCAGTTCTTGCTGACACCCTTTCCTTTTCTACTTCCCCCAGCCTACACCCTACCAAGGAAAATGCTGTCCTTCATTTCCCAGTGGATTTCCAGAAGGGTCTGGAACAATGGCACGAATGTAACCTCCAATCTGAGATTTGTTTGACATATATAAAACTTCCTTCCAGGCAGGAAAATCTCAGTTTCTTTTTTTTTTTTTCCTCTGAAGGGAAGACAGTCAGCATTGACCTGGTCTGGTTTAGACTCTGGAATCCTAAATTGATCCCTATGAAAATTCTGGGTTTGCAAGCCCAAGTGGATTGTTTCTCATTAGTGACATTCTTCCTGGAAGGTCAGGCTACGGAATGGTAAATAAACCTTCAGATCCGGTGTTTTTCACCCATGATATTTTTTTTTTAAGGGTTCTGCTGTGGCTAGCCAGGATCCTTTGCTAGGATTCAAGCAAGTCAGGCTGAATCCTGGGCTGTGGGGTAAACTTTCTGGGAAGTTTGGAACTGGTTTTCCTCCTCTCTTGATTTCATATTATTCATTGGGAAATCCATTTAACTCTGCTAAACCTCAGTTTCCCCATTGGATAACTGGAGTCTGTGCCCCAGCTTTACTGGGCTGAATGAGTTAGTGTTTTTACAGATGTTTCCTGAGCCTAAATTTACCCTGAACCTGTATTTCCTCTCTATTCCCCTCACTGAGATTGGAGTAAGGAGGAGTGGGGTGGGAGGAAGGGTACAGAGAGGTATAGTTATGTCTGTGTGCGGCAGTGTTCTGAGAACCTGGGATGACTCTACTATCCTACTTATGGCCTTTGAGTGAAGATAGGAAGTTCTATGACACATGGAGGATATATATATATTGCCTGTGTATACCAGTACTAGGGTTTGAACTCCAGGTCTGCCCTTAGCTTTATCCTTCAAGGCTAAAGGCTGGCATTCTACCACTTGAGCCACACCTCCACTTCTGGCTTTTTACTGGCTTATGGGGGGTACTCACATACTTGTCTGCCCTGTGCTGCCCTCACACCTTGATCCTCATATCTCAGCTTTCTAAGATAGTGAG